AATATCACCACCAACAGAATCGCACTCCACTTGGCCTTAAAGCCCACTACAACCATCACGCAAGCCACCAACCCAAATAGACTAACCAATATCCTGGCAATCCCCCAGTCCCCACTCCATATGAATCCCACAAACAACAATATCAACAGGATCCTCCCAGCTAGTTGAATGTATTTCTTGCGATCCTTCTCCGCGGGCAGAGGTAATCCGGCTGGTGCGAACTTCTTGCGCACCCAGCTATCGCTCAGGACCATAAGAAGGCCGCCCATGACGCTAAGGTTGCGCAGGAAGAAGTTGAGGTCGAAGATGAGGCCGTAGCCGAGGGCTTGGGTGATGACGACCCCAATGAGGCCAAAGACAGCGTATTCGGTGTATTTGCGGATAATGACAAGGGTAGAGCAGCTGATCATGGCGATGACATTAAGGAAAAGGAATGAATGTGTGAGACCCCAGGGTACTGACAGCTTATCAGTACGACCATTGTAAAGGCAGTCAGAAGCTCAAAGCGAGTTGTGAGGATCTTACTGTGTCTGTAGTCCTTAAGGTAGAGAAGTTGATCATTCCATTGGGTCATGATCCTTATTGCATCTTCCATGAATGTGCACACGATGAGGAAGCGTCCAGCTGCTGGTATGTATCTACAGCAAGCAGGTCCTCGAGTCAGCGAGATGTCTCTTCTTCGATCCCGGGTCATGCACACGGGCAATACGAAGCCCCCCTCTTTGCCGAAATTGCCAAAGGCAACTCACTGTTTGATAGGGTCGGCGGCGGTATCCAACCACTCCTCGATCTTGTTGGTCTGCTCCCTGAGCTGTTCCAGTGGACTTGGATCATTCGTTGCGTCTGCCCTGCCAGGTCCCCCGAATCTATTGTCTTGCGCACCGAGGTTATAACCCGCCGTGCCCCGTATTTGAGCCATGGTTGTTGCTCAGCTCATGCAAAGGAAAGTTGCGACTGGCAGATGTTTTCAGTAGCGTGAACGGCGGGCACTTTAAAGATACAACCAGCTCTTGTCGAAGAAAGGGAAAGCAATATATGTTTGTTTCCTGGAATATACGTGAGTCGATGTGCTTAGAGCCTTAGAAGTTAGGTGAGATAGAAAGCGTAAAAGACACGCTTCCAAATTCTACCTTAAGTTCCATTCAACCATCGGCCTTTTGGCTTCCCCGTACCCGACGCCAAGCCCCCACAAGCCCTAAAGCCGCTAAAGCTTAGGGCCTCAATTCTCCTACCTCTACCTAAGGTACCGTACCTAGAGTCTAGAGCAGGTACCACCTACCTTACCTAGCCTTTGCGACCTTTTGACCCCTGCGTTCAACATTCATGTCAAGTCAATTGCATAACGTTGATCATTGTCTACGGGAAACCCTTCTCGGAACTTTGCATTCTGATGATTGATTGTAGGACAGGTGGACAGTAAGATACATATAAAAGGGCTTTTGTTCCTTTGAATAGCCAGCTGACTGCTTCACGCAGGAAGTAAAGGGGCTTGCTTTGATTGACCTGGCTTCTCCGGCAGTGACCTTCTCAATCTGTACACGCTATCTTCCTTCCTCCCAAAGCGCACGGGAAAACGAGAATGAAACTCTGTAGAGCCGATCGGGAGGGGTGTACATAATGTACAAGTACAACAAGAAATGGAACCGTACCCGTATTCCCTCCACCCTACTACGACGATGAGTAGGAGTACATGCCAGCATTGTCGATGGCCTGATGAAACGTATGCCGAGCTTTTGCACACATGCGCCGTAAATGCTTCGCTCCCATGCATCCCCGATTATGCTGCTGATAGAGCGCAAAATTGCAGCCTCCCAATGGTCCGAATCTGAGTATCGCTGATGTTTTCGAAAATGTTACATAAGAGATGGCTGTGGACCTTGTCAGTCATGTATTATAAAAAAAGATGAATAATTTTCTCGACTTACTACATGTGTCCTTCTGTACTCTTCTTACTCAACAGACGGCCCATTCATCATCGTCCGGATGGCCAGTCAAAGCGTAGGGGAAGTCGGGGTCGTAGTCTGGATGCTCGGTAATGTTCTTCCTAGTCCATACGCTATGGTCGATAGTCTCGTAGGTTGCTTTGACGTGCTTTGGCTCATGAGCATCAGTAGCTTTGTTAGATGCAGACTCCTCATTCTTGCTGTCCTTGGTGGGTGATGTTGCTGTCTTGTTGAGATTTTCCTCTTTTGAGGCCATCACTCCAGTGGGTATGTCTTTCTTTTCCGCTCCAGAAGATGTGGTATTGTCGTGTTCTGCAGAAATGGGCGGCATTGTGCTTGATGTACTGTTGTTGTTGTTGTTGTTGGCTTTGGGAGTTTTCTTGTTGTCTGCAGAGATCGCTAAAGACGCAGCAGCGGTAGTGCTTGATGTATCTTTCTTCTGGTTTCCGGAAGAATGGATTGAATCTTTATTTGCAGGGACAGCGGCCGACGATTTCTTTTTGCTTTTACCACCCTTGGCAACTGTACTCCAAGCATTGTCACTGTCCATTTCGGTGATCATTCTCATTTGCTCTTCTTCAGAGGGCAAGTCATTGTTCCACACTTTCCCATCTACAGACACGCCATTAGACACACCGTTCGCCCCACCGTTGGTACTACGTGGATTTGGAGCTGTTGTAGGTGCGTCTTCAAACGTGTCAAGCAAGGAGACGCTGCTCTGTTTTGAAACTGGTCCTGAAGAATCAGTCGCTGCACTAGCTGGCTTGTTCCACGCATTGGTAGACGGTAGTTGCGAAGGAGCTAGACCATTCTTTGCAGGCCTTCCCTCTGCTTCTCTCGCAGTACGAAGCTGCTTCTCGAGCAAGGCGCGTCTCTCTTTCTCAGCTCGTTCACGCATTGCCTTCTTGTCCTCGTTCTTCTGCCTATTTTGCCTCTGCTTCTTAGTCTCCGGCTCTGGTGCACCTTTTTGAGCCTTTGGCTGTCGGACCGGTTGCGGATTCGCTGGCTCGGTAATACGAAGAATTGATGATCCCTTCGGTGCTGGCTCGAGCATGTCGGAGATATCCGTACTGGAGGTTGTTGTAGCCTGAGTCGCGCGAAGATCTGGAGACATGGCAGGCGAGAGGTCGTCGTCGGCATCGGCTCCTGTAGTAGATGAAGCAGTGGACATGTCTTGCGAGCTTGCGACTCCATTTGTCTTCAAAGCGGAACCATTCATGGCTTGTGGTGGTGCTTCGTTGCGCTTCCCTTGCTTCCTCGTTTTCTTGTTCTCATTCTGGGTGGCAGGCTTCTTCAGAGAAGTTCCTGTCTTCAAGCCCGACAGTTGTCTAGCGAACTCCTCATTGTCCATCTCTTCATCTTCGGCAATACCATTCTCAGTGCCCAAACCTTGCTCTGGGCCGATTTCAGCAGCTGAGCTCTGAGCAAGCTTGCTAGGTTGTTTTTTGCCACCTTTGCGCTTTTTCACTGTACCGTTGGTGCTGGTCTGTACTGAAGCCGAAGCCACTTCTCCGGCATCGCTCCCCGGTTGATCAGATGTGTCGGATAATTTGCCTTTCTTCTTCCTCTTGTCTTTGCTGTCATTTCGCTGGTCTGACCCACGTCGTTGACTCTGCTCTGCTGAGAGGAGTGGTGGTGCACGGCCTCTACCACGCTTGTTTTTGCCGGACTGGCTGTAGTAGTACGCAGCTCCAAGCCCGAAGACGCCAACAATGGCCCAGCTCTTCCAAGGATCCATTTTTGTCGACGTCTGCTTGGATTCGAAGAAATGCTGATGGCAGGTTCAGCGGTGACGGAGTTTAAGACGTATTGGCGGGAGGCGAGCGTTGGATTGAGTCGTTGAGGAGGAATGAGAGATTTGATGTGCTAGTGCAGCGGGTTCAACAAGGTAACTTTGGAGGCTCAATGATCCTCGACAGCGACCAATGAGGAGATGGAGTCGCTGGGGGTGATGGACGAGATTGTTGCGGATGGATGTTGCGTTGGATCGAGGTCTTGTTGCAATTATCGGATGCTCTCAGGTTGACGCAAGGGGCGTTTCTGACAGGACTTGATGGCTTGAGAATTGCAGGAAGAAATCTGGACAAAGCCCGCAATAGAGCTCAAGCAAGCGAGGTACCGCTACATCGACTGATGCATCAAAGGTGCATGCAGTCTCGCAGCGCGGAAGGAGATATTGTTGAGTGTAAGGCCGAAAGTCGCCACGATCCAGGAATCTAAAGTGTGATAGGTCATCGGCCAAGCAGTTGAGTTACAGACGGCATCTACTCCGTGCGATTAAATACACGGAAACGACTGGATTGGCGGATTTATATACACTTGAAGAGGTAATGGGGGTTTTGGGGGTTTGGGGGTTTTGGGGGGTTTGAGGTAAGGACAGGTGTATCTATTTACGTATCCTACTCCAGTCATCGAACCCCGGTTCTTGCGGGGAAGTGCTTCGCCAAGACGGCCAAGCAGCAGCAGCAGGTCTGCAGCCCTACATCCCTACACTCATTATGGGGCGTGCTTGCGAGGTTGCGAGTACGATCATGTACAATGGGATCTTTGACAGGGTCGCACAAGATATGCGATAAACAGAAATATGCCAAGGTCTACCTACCCCGAGACAAACCACGGAGACGTCGACTTCATAAGTATGGCGATAGCTGAACCCACGTAAGCCGCCGGAAAGGCTATTGGCTACGCTCGAGGAATGTTATGGACTAGAAATGGGTAACTAGCTACTGGGGTAATTTGCAACTTTATAGACACTCTTCTCCTTCTCAGCCATTGCTATAATATTAGAACCATCACTCTGCCAGTCCAGATGCCAGGATCATTGTTTGCAGCGGACACTGGTAGCCTACCATTTCATGTGTGACTCCAAGGCCTCACATGCATCTTTTGCAAATAATAGCTTGCTATCTTGTGTTTGGGAATGTCTCCAACTCCACAGCTCTGGTTTAAACAACGGACCCGATTTTGGTGTCGGTGGATGTGAATGCTCTGTCTTGTGTGCCTCCACCTCGGAGGGTCATCGTCCCACTGTCCATTACTCGCATTGTAACTTTCCCCTTACAAAGCGTAGGGATTCATTGAGCGGATGGTCAAACACGGTGGGCTCTTGGTGAGATCCGTTTTCAGGATGACCGGGACTCGGGTCATCTCTGTGACATCCTGTATATACTCTCCGCCTTCCTCCCTGAGCTTGAAAAGGCCCAGGTACTTCTCTTTGTTGCTTAATTTCGCTTCAGGGTCATCTCCCACGCTGGAGGCAAGCTTTGAATCAGACTGGGTTCGTAGAGGGGTTTGATCGCCAGCCGAACCGTTGTGGGTTGGGGATGGAGGCATGCTTTGTGTAGGACGATCAGAAGTCGAGACTCCCAAAGATACACCAGCGGTGGATTCAGTGATCTCGGAGACATTGTCCTCGTCATCAAATAAGGCGTCAACGTCGTCTGTTGACATTGTGCCAGTCTCCGTCTGCCTTCTTTGCAAATCTTCGCGCTCTCTATTCTGCTGCTTACTATCCCCTTGTCGACCAGTAGTGCTATCGTGGTGTCTTGCGCTGGTAGTGGCTTTGGGACGCTCATCCTCAGGTACGTAGGCAGAAGAGGGTACGCCCTTTTCCCAGTACAATTCAAGCACACGCTCGTCCTTGCGGAATTCAGCTTTCTTCAGTGGAAGTTGGTCACAGTGAACACGCTTTTCAAAGCCGTACTCGGGTATCAAGACATCGAAAGCGGACTCGTAGACACAGATGACAATACCTTCGCTGATGAAGTCGCTGCCAAGCTCCACTCTCTTTTTGTCCATGATTCGACAGGATTCGATGTGAACGCTTTGCTCCTGAGCACTCTGCGCAGAGTCTTTCTTTGTGTTGCAAGACTCGGCTGTCTTTGCAAGGTTGTCGACATCTTCAGTGAAGTCGATAGCGCCATTAGAAAGAGCTGCTTCGAGTTGTCGATGAACGACAATATCTGCATATCGACGAGATGGGTTTGTAAAGTGGGTGTACAGGGGAAGGTTCAAGGCGTAGTGGTGAGGGTACTGCTGGACCTGTTCGGGTCTCAACTTCCCAAGAACGAAGTATTTGGCCCGCTGCATGGCCTTAACAAGCAAGGTTTCCATGCCCTATGAAATTCAGCCTTGACCGTGTCAACAGTTTGGAGACAAAAGGCCTACCTTGCGCAAATCTGCGTCCTTCACGTTGAAGAGACTGTTCTGCAGAGCTCCACTGCTTGAAGTATCCACCTCATATCCAATTCTTGTCATCCGGTCAGCAAAAGTTGCCAGTCTCCTTGCATTTGGTGGAGCTTGACGACGAAGGAACGCCTTCTCGGGCAAAGCTGCAGCAATTCGCTGAGCAACGAAAGTGTTTGCTTTATGACCGAGCTCTTCGATAATTTCATGTGCCGGTGTGGAATCGAAGATGTTGTGCTCCACTGGGACATTCTCGTCATCGAGCTGATGAAGCAAGCGCAGAGGTGGCACGTCTTCGGTCCGGGATCCATATCTCGTTTCGCGAAATTTCTGTGCTATTTTCTGTTAAATGTCAGCCTGGTTTTACGTCATCCAATCTCCTCCCAGTAAACGAACCTTTAATGTGTGTATGTCCTTGGCGGTAGCCCCCTGAAGATCAACCTCGGCTTTGCCACCAATGACGGCGTCAACGTCGTCGTAAGTCAGTTTGCCTGCACTCTTGATCATTGCCTTTCCAATCCACGCTTCCTCATCGATCACACGGCCAGATTCAAGATCGACCTTAAAAACAACACTGACAGTAAATCTCTCCTCTCCAGGACTCAATGAGCAGATCTCGGATGCAAGTCTTGGTGGAAGCATGTTAACCGCGCGATTTATCAGATAAACACCGGTTCCGCGCTTTTTTGCTTCACGATCAACGAGCGAATTCGCTTTGATGAAGTGAGCGGCGTCAGCGACGTGGATACCGATCTCAACCACGCCACCTGCAAGCTCTTTGACGTGAATTGCGTCGTCTAGCTCTTGCGTTCCATTCGGATCAATGGTAAACGTGGTCTCTTCTCGGAAGTCTCTCCTGGAAGCCAGTGCCTCTTCAGATTCATTATCAATCGACCATTCGTCAAAGCCTATGTTTTTGAGAACTGCATCCGAGAACTCGTCAGGGCCAAAGTTGTTGTCCCTGAGCAATGCGTTGGTCTCTACTCTCAGATCGCCCATCTTACCAAGCTGCTCCACCAATGTACCAAACGGATGCAGAGAGGTGATAGGCCATCGCTTAATGCATGCAACAAATATGCTGCTGGCATAATCTTGGTGTCTCTCCACAAAGTCACGCGGGGCCTGCTCAGTTGGGATGGCAATAAGAGGTACACGCTTGTCGGTAGGCTTGAACCAGACAATTTTTGGCTTGTCCGGTTGTCTGTCTTGTTGATGACGACCAGGCCCACCATCGCGATGTTGACGCTCAGCTTCCTGCTTCTCCTTGGTAGCTTGGCTACTAGGTCGCAGAAGTCCAAGAGTTCTAGAATTTGTAAGCATTCCGGTGCACAGCAAGATTGGAGTGTTATGACTGACCCTGAGAACATCTGTCCAGCCACTCGCTCAATGACAGCAACGACATGGCCAGCGTACAATGGTTTTTGTTCGTCATTCACTTCCTCTTCTTCCATCAGCAACAAGCTCTGGCCCTCGACTTCTACATCATCGTTTTTCTTCTGTGTTGGACGTTGTCTCAAACTACCTCTCCTTCGAAGACCACCCTCGGTGGCCCCGTTCTGTCCACTATCACCGTTGGCAGCTGAGTCACTTCGGGGTCGCCCCTCAGCCGCATTGCTGCTATTACCACTTCTTGCGTCCGAGATATCCTTGCGTTTCTTTTTCTCTTCCTTTTCGCGCTTCTGTCCCCAGACTTCATCCACGTCGAGGAGTTCGATAGCGACATAGTCGCCCTCTAATGCTCGGTTCCTGTCTTTGCTCCCACAAATGAAGATGTCCGCATCCAAGTCACTGGCGGTGACATAGGCATCGCTGCGATTCTTCTTATTTACTCGAAGTATACCAGCTACGAGCTGGTCATTGTTCAACAAAGCTGGAAGGTTTGCTTGAGGAAGGTAAGGAGTGAATAGAGTCTTTCGCGCTTGCTGCTGTGCGGAAAGCTGAGGCTGGGAGGGTTGGTTTCCCTGCATGTTGAATTGCTGCCCATTTAGCTGAGCTGCTTGCAATGCTTGCAGTTGATTAAGTTGTAAAGGGTTGATCTGCTGGCCAGCAAACATTTGGGGCTGTTGTATCATGACCTGGCCCTGCGGCAGCTGGACCAGTTGTGGTTGGTTTGGGAACTGGAATTGACCAAGGGAACCTATCGATTGATTCATAGAGCCTCTTACTCTGTGTCCGGGTTGGAAGACGTTGGCATTCGGGTTTTGATTCTGTCCGAAATTGCCCATCGGTGGCTGCTGTTCCTGCATCTGCGGCTGGGTACCCCCTTGTGACCTCCAGTTACTATCAAAGTTTCTTGAAGATGTCCGGCCGTGGCCATTTTGGCTGCCCCGCCGCTGAAAATCGGATTGCTGTCCCGCAGAGCTTGCTCCGGCGTCGTTGGTCGCCATTGGAGGTGGGAATTGGAATCCACCAGAGCCACGACCCGGAGGTGCACCACGTCCACTACCCATGGCCATACTTTGGCTTCTCCCGTGAGTAGCAGCACCTCGATTACCTGCACGAGCACTTAGACCAGACGGACTAAGGAGTTGCTGCGAATCAGCACCCTTCTCGTCAACTGTCGTCGGGCTTAAAGACCTGTCCGCAGCGGTTGAAGAAGCACCTGAAGCACCTGAAGCACCTGGGATTGGGAACTGGAACCCAGAAGTGGTGCGCTTCTGTTGTGCGAGCTCCGCGGCTTTCTTCGCTTCGGGCAAGGCAAGGGAATGACGGCGCTGATGGCCACCGCCTGGCGGTCCTCCACCACGGCCACCACGCTGTGCTCCACTGTCACGGCCTTGGCTGCCCATACTCTGCTGGGAGAAGTCACCGAATGCGGAGCCGGAAGCTCCAGAGGAAGGTGCTGGAGGTGGGCCCATGCTCATGTTTGGCATTGCTGACTGGTTACGGCGGTGTGACGCAGGCTGTGTTGGGGCATTCATCGGGACGCCCAGCTGCTGTTGCTGGGATTGCTGCGGGAATTGGAACGCATTTGCGTGGGGCGACATGCCTGCCATGGTAAATTGTCCTTGCATCGCTTGCTGGGGTGGGAAGTTGACAGTAGGTAATTGTTGTTGTTGAGGGATCATACCCATTTGCACATATTGCTGGTGCACTCCAGCGATTTGTTGCTGCTGTTGCTGAAGATGTTCTATTTGTTGCTGCAAAGCGAGTTGTTCCACTGCAGCAATGGCTTGATCAGCAACGTGTTCACTTAGTAGGTGTAGAAGCCCTACTATTTTATCGAAGATACTGACTACGAAAAATCATTAGGAGAACTTACTGAGCAATGGAGTCATCTCCGAAGGGCTACGCCTGTGAGCGATATGCAGTCGCCTGCCCGCAGGCCCGGCTACACCAGGATGAGTTTGCGGGTCCATTTCTTCACTTAAGCAAGCTCTGAAGGGCAAGTGCTGCTCCCCGGAAAAAAGTGTGTCAGAAGCAGTGAGTCGTTGTGATCAGCGCCCGGGGAATAATCCGAGATGTTTGCGAGGAGTATCGGGCTTGCCAGACGCAGTCGGATCTCTTGGGTCACCTCTGCCAGGACCCTTGAACGGCAAGATACGGTGGGCCTAAGGGCCACAAAGGAAGGGATAGAGAAGTAGAGTGTAAATGATGGTTGACACTTGTGGTGGTTGTGTAGCCGGCAAGCTGGGTTGGATGTACGGTGACGTTGGCTTCTTCCCGCAAAGGACAGGAAGATTGAAGAGAAGCGTACGCAACGCAATAGTAATGTCACGATGACGAAGACAATATGTCGAAGGGATTGACAGTGATGAAGGAAGGATGGGAGGTAAGTAGGGAGGGCGGAAAGGGAACGACGTGGATGAGGAAGGAGTGTGCGTTGGGGAAGGAAGTAAAAAGTTCAAGAGTGTCGATTTTTGAGTGTAGCCTTTTTCGGGTCGTCGTTGCTATTTCTCCGGACTTCGGGGAAAGAAACTATTGCGTGGCGAGGTGGCCAGTCTCCCAGTCCACCAAGAATTTGATAATTATCTTGTACACGGGTCTAGAAATCATGAGCTCTACCTTTAGCTACCTCATGAACCATCTACAGCCTTTCAGATAATCAAGCGAAAACAGTGTCGAAGAAGCAAAAAAGGCCACATCTATCTATTTCTGTAAGCCACCGATTTTGTAGCGCTCTTCCAAAGAAGTAGGGAATATAAGATTGTGGCTTTGTTCTCAAGCTACGGAGAGATGTGTGTTGTGAGGCGCAAAGCTCCAATCTTTTTGTCATATTCCTATATTCATTGAGTTCAAGCTCTGCCAAAAAGTGAAGGAAATGGCACCAAAAGGCTCATCCGAGGCTTTGGATCAGCCCTACCTTAATTACTAAGCAAAATGCTGCTTTTCTGTGCTCACTCGACGGAGCCTCGCGAAACTCAAGTCTGTGCCTCTGACCAAGTACTTCACACTCCACCAATGATAATATTGAATTTATAAAGCACGAATCGCATACATTGATTGCCCCCCATACGTTGACTCAATTATGCAAATGTGTCCTAGAGCCTGGGACATTGCTCAACAGCCGTCTTTGTTACGCCTAACGTTGACATCTTTAATGCCAAAGTCTCAAATTCCTTGAGTGTCAAGGCACGTCCCTTCATGGGCCTATATTTTGCCACGTTCAACTCCAACCTGCCGTTTCATCATCCACGCTTAGGGGGACCACAATTATCTACCGTACCATGGAGATCATGACGAGTCCTTACAAACTAGCCAAAGATAGCCCCTCACGCCAGCTCCTGTGGGAGCTCGGTCAGCTCGCGATATCAACACAGGAAGGATTCTACGCCCATCTGGACAGGGAGAGCCATGAACGTGAGGCACTTCACCAGCAGGCGCTCGCTGCAGCCACTGCAAAACATGAGAGCGTTCGGCGAACCGCGGAGCAGTACCGGGAAAGGCTAGAAGCACAGATACAGGCGGAGCGAAAACGGAGAGACGATGAAGAGGCAAAGGGATTGGAAAAGCTGCGCCGAGAAAAGGTCGAGCAAGAAATTGCGGAGAGGAAGAGAGAGGTCGAACGAGCCAAGACAATTGAGCTTGAGGAGAAGAGAATTGCCGAGGTCAAGAGGTTAGAGAAAGAGGCCGCGGATCGCAAAAAAGCGGAGAGAGAAAGACAGGACGCTGAGACTGCCAAACGTCAAGAAGAAGAGCGTAAAAAAGCAGCCCGGCAGAAAGATGAAGCCGCGGCAGCAGAGGTCCGTGCCAGAGAAGTGGCCGTTGCAGCTCAAGAGGCTCGCTCTGCGCCAGTCGTTCAAGCACCGGCACCGATCTCAGCTCCTGCTCCGCCTGTCCAGCAGTCTACCCCGACGACTCAACCAATCCAAAACACCCAGTCAGAAGCTGAGCATTCCAGGTATCTCGAGATTCACCGTGCATTAAAGGAGCTTCGAAAGTTCATGACCGCGCAGGCGAAGCAAAACGCACAGCTCAAAGGAGCCATGGGCGACATGAGGCGCGAGATTAGAAAATCTGTTGGACAGTTAAGAGACGGAAAGGGTGCGAATAAGGTTCAGGTATGTCTCTGCGTTTCTCATTATTTCTATCGATGCTAATATCCCTCTGAAGCTGCAAACAACGATTGAGACCCTCAAGAAAGCGGCCACTCTCGCCGAACCCCAGGTCGACATCACCATGTTCCTCGCATCACCTCCGCAAGTAGATGACCGCAATGGTCCTGCTCTACTCGTCTACCTTCTTAATATTTTTGCAAAGGCTATGATCGCCCAATTCATCAACGAAGCTGGTGTCAGGCCTCTTATAGCCGACAACCTTGGTACCGTTGCAAGTCATATCTTCGCATTGGACAACTTCCGTTGGAAAGGCATTTCTCTCATCGACGTTCTCATCGCGAAGTTCCATGTCGTCTGTCCAGTACTCTTCGGTATCTACGGTAATGAACGAACTCTGGAAGGAAAGCATCGTCTCGGTTGGTGGCGAGAGGAAGGTGGCGGAGCGTTTGTGCCAGAGCAGAGGCACTTCGAGAGGATGACAGGTCTCGGAGCCGGCTTTGCGGGCATCTCACTTAAGAATTACGAGAAAGCTCGCGCGCAGAACCCCTATCCAGATAAGCACTACTGGACGTCGCTTGCCAGTATCACCAACGTTCCTCCACAGGAGATCACGCAAACACATTTCGTAGTGCTCAAGGGCATGATTGAAAATTTTGAGTCAAAATTCTTACACTTCTTCGGAGACGCGGCGATTGCAGCATTGAGGCTCGCCTTGATTGAGCTTCCAAGGAGATCACCTCCTAGTGTCGCAGCAAAGTCGCTGGCTGGGTTGGTAGATGTGCTCAAGAGGGATAAGAAGCTTATCTTGTGATGAAGCACATGATAGAATTGGAGGGCTTCCAGTGGGGAGAACAGGGTATTCGTTCCATCAGCAACCCCGAACGATTGGATGAGCGTCACGATGGCTCGCCAGATGGACAAGGAGGTGGTCTACTGCAATTTAGCGTTTTCTGTACACGTCAGATATTTGTTTCTAAATACCCCGTTCAGCATTCGAAGACACAAGGTCGACATGCTAAAACTAGTGCCACAACAAACGTTCTCCATTCTTATCATTGGCACATGGCAGCGTGAGTTAGATGTGACCTATTTCCACGTTAGGACTTGAATAGCCACAGGTACTATTCGGATAGGGTATCTTAAATACACAGATCTCAACACAGACACAGACACACACAGACACACAAAAGGAACCCCACCATTGTCACCTCTTACCCAGCCGTTCTTTCCCCCAAGTCTTGACTTTCCCATCCATATCCCTCCTCACAAACACCATGACAATCATTACCAACCATGCCATCACGGTATCAACAAATCCCCTGCCATTCCGTCTACTTCCCCCCAGCATCCCCGACTTCATTGCAACACCCAATACCCCATTTGTCGTAATCAACTCCTCTCCCCTTTCCAGCCCTTTTACGCTCGCTGCCGCTACTTGCTCTGGGGTTTGCCCAGCATCACCCTCCTCCAGTTTCTTGGTTATTGCCGGTTTGGTGAGGTTTTCCTTCTCATATCCTTCTGTGAAGATCGTTCCCGGAAACACTGTGTGCGTCCGAATGGGGGCCAGAGGTGCGTATAGCAACAGTTCCTGGGATAGGGTGTCGGAGAGTGCTCGAAGAGCGGTTTTTGTTGGCGTATAGGGACCGTAGCCAACAAGTGGTAAGAAGGCGAGAACTGAGGATGTGAAGATGATATGTTTTGCTGGTTGGTTGGGCTCAGGGGAGGACTTAAAGTGGTTGACCCATGACTGCACTGCGGCGTGGGCTACATAAGCGGAGGAGAAGTAATTGCTTTCCATTTGCTCTTTCAGCACTTCGATTGGCACGTCAATAAAGAGGCCAGGACGAGACGAGCCAGCGCAGCACCAGAATATGTCTGGAGGCTGGTTGTTGTTCCATGCCGTTGTTTCTGAAAGAATGCGCGCCGCTTCGGCAGGATCTATCAAATCGGCGCTGATGTAGTGGAAGCGCTGGACTGAGGGTTTTAAAGCGTGCTCCTTGTTCTGATTTCAGCGAATCCTCAGGCTATGCAGTGCTTTCTGGGGCATACAGATATATACTTGAGCGCCTCTTCGAGCTTCTCAGCATTTCGGGCGATAATAATCACATTGGCTCCCTTCTCTGCGAGTAACCTTCCAACGGCTTTTCCCATTCCCTGAGAGCCTCCAGTAATGACCACTGTCTAGACCAATTCAATTAACCTCTTTCTCAAAGAGCAAATGCCGGAAGAGCTTCTTACTTTGCCATTCACGGGAAAGTGATTCTTGCTCTGGAAGCCGCCCATTCTGTCGTAGATGAGGACAGACACAAACAGACACAAGCATACGGAGGTCCAGAAAAGACCAAACGCCATGAGACTCGACTACGCCGTTCAGTTGCGTGCAATGATATGAAGGAAAACAGGAAAAGGTCTGGCAAATCGTCGATTCTAAGGAGCCCTAAACTCCGCGATATCTCGGACTTAGACACGGGATGCCGCACGAAATTTCCTGTTCGCAGATTTGGTCTTTTACCACCATTCGCAAGATGGCAAAGAAGAGGAAAGCTAGTGGACAGCCATTCGGTCGCGATGAGCCT